TATATAAATATAACATAACCTCCACCAACCACTAGGAGATCCACCATAAACACACATACTTTTTTTTAAGCAAATATGAAAGTTTAAGATAATTAAATGTACTACACGAATAGCATAAGAGAATCACCGATTGGCAACATCTCTTGAACTAAGTTAATAGATCTCGACACCAATAATTAGGCTACGGTATCTGCGTGTCCAGGTTTTCGGAAGAGTGCGATGGTGGATTCGTGAGAATTAGGGGGAGGAGAGCGTTTTCTGTGCGTATTAAATAAAATTTTGGTTGACACGTTTATACCACCTACATTGTTTGAGCACACACCAACTAGCAAAACATTTTTTTAAGCGGGAAAGTGCCCTCTTGCTCTTGGGGATTTGCACCACCGAATTTATTAGGCAAGTATATCTCGGTTATTCAATCACTTTTATAATCGTCTGTGCCGTTTTTGACTAGCCGGACGGGTCGACGGCAAACGTCTCTCAGGCCAGACGGTCTTAAAATACGTTTCGAAAATCGTACGCGGCCAGCTTGCAGGTGCGGCAGAGGTGGCGGAGAGGGGAAAAAACTCGCGTAATAATTTGCCGCCGAGTACACCCGGTGAACGCGCGCGCGTGTGTATGTGCATAATATACGCGGGCGGCGGCGCGGCTCGCAACTGGGCCAACGGGGCGTGCGGGGGGTGACGTTGGGCGGAGATTGTGTGACCTACTCGCCGGGACCCTAATTAAAGGAGCGCGTTGCGAAACGCCTAGGCCGCGCGCGCGTTCGCGTGTGTGTGTTTATACATGCACAAGTATACTCGGGTAAGCGTGTGTGTGTTTGTGTATACTCGCCCAGCACACACACACACACACACACACACACACACGTCTGTAAATGTATAATATGCTAATCTACATTCAGTATGCATTGTGTGTGCGTGCGCGCGCGACAGCAAAAGAAAAAACGCAAACACATACACACACACAGACACACACACATAGACAAACATCAAACCGCACCGTCGAGAGTGAGAAGAATGATGACAACTATTGTGCAACAGCCTACGCGCGCACACACGTACCTGCAGGTGTGTGTGTACGGGCGCGCGACTCGATTTTCGTTTTCGTTTGATTATTCGTTTGTTTTTCGTAAAAAAAAAATATATATAATATCCAGACTCGCTTTCGCGCGGCAGATAACGCAAGAAACTAGGTAACCGCCGCCGTAACTGAAATATTCTCTCCCACCGCCGCCGCCGCCGCGCCGTAACGTTACGACGGATTATTAATGGTCCGTTAACGAGTCTATATGGCGCGCGGGGTTTTTTGCACAACTCGAACGGTGCCGCGCGCGAGCGCATATTTCCGAAACCGTTTTTCTCGAAACATAAAATACGTGCCCTATTACGATATATTATGCTCGCTCGCCAACCCCCGGTCATAACAATAAAATATAATGTACGGTATTGGGTGTACCGACGACATAATACTTTACAATACGTACAACACGTGAAGAATTTATCGCCGCCACCCGGCGATTCCAGCGGCCTAACAAATAGTACCTATGCATTATTATTATAATAAACGCGACACGCGCGAGGCGAAAGATATAATATATAATATCGTTGGGAAATCGTTACACACACCTATTTATTGTTATTATATTTTTATTATTATATTATTGTACAACAAGTCTTCGGGGAGAATTTTACCACCCACACTGCACCCGAAAATATCGCATACGCACGCATCGTGTCCGATGTTTTCGGCTATGATGTATATGGACCCACTTATATAATATAATATTGTGTTTTACCGATGACGGAATAGGAAAAAAAACATGGAATGCGTTTCGTACGAATCGATGCGATTTGTGATGAGCCAATTTTCAAATTGCACGCAACAATCACTCTAACGAAACAATCGACAATGCATACACACAGAACAGGATTTCCGAACGCGATTATCAGTATACGCATAGCGCCCCGGTGGTAAAAAGAACGGAAGTTCGATGCGTATATTTCAATAGAATAACAGATTGAACACTAACACACACACTCATGCGAGCGAGCGGGTCACAAACATATTATACGTCGTACAGAATACACCTCGATGTCTATCTATATATAATACTCTGGTGCACTATAGCGGGAAATTAGGTTAATTTTCATGCCAAAACCAATTATTATTATTATTATTATTATTATTGATAATAATATTATAAATAATATAAATAGTTAATCGTGTATACGTATGTACGACGACTGTTGTATCTCATTTATAATATCTAAACCATAAAAATGCGCCACATAATGTTTATCATTATTCAATGGTCGACCACATTATCCCTCTCCACCGCCTAACCACCCGGTACACGCGTACTGTACATATAGTACCTATACGACATCAAAAATTAAAGGATATTATTATTATTATCATTACTATAATACGTAACACATAAACATGTACATGCATGCATACAGAATATATTATACATATATATATGTATTATATATAATATATGGACATATACAATAATAATAATATAATACGTTATACAATTTTAACTTTTTTTTTATTCTTAAAAAAACCGAAGGACTGAATAGATTATAAATACAAAACGCAATATATATCGTCGTTTTTATATATGTATTTCTATTATGTATTTGATATTCTACCGGTGGGACGAATCGCCTTGTAATAGAATAGCAGAAATAATAATAATAATAGTAATAATAATAAACTGTATGATGTCATGGAAGAATGGTGGAAAGCAATGCATATACAGACGGTGTGGGAGGGGGGACGCTGAGAAAATCTTGACGATCTTGACACGGATTCGGTCTGTGGAACAGAAAAACCGAGTTTTTTTTTATCATTATTATCTCTGTGTATATATTCTCCATATTACGAGTTACAAAATAGTAAATGTGTTTTTTACTACTTGTTTCAAAAATCTTATACGAGCAAGTTTTTTTTAATATTATTTATTAAACAAACTATAACACTCAGTGTTTGTACCTTGTACGTACCTATATTTACTACCTAATCATATGTGAATATCACGATTTTATTTGTATTTAAAATATAAGTCAATTTTTAATATGCATTATAATATGATATATACAACATTTTAACTACTGAGTTTATCTAACGTTGTGTATCAAAATTATGCGGTTTCCTGGCAATTATAATGTATACATTTTATTATTTGCAAAAGTTATATCTACTATATTGTATCCGTTATCGTTTATTGAAATACAAATTATTTTACACATAACGTATTACACAATACTTAACTATAGTTAACTTTAGTTTATTGACCGGCTGGCAGATATATTTTAGGTAGGTATATTTGAAATTTCTTTCACAACGTGCAATACATAATTTCAATAATTTACGTTGAAACGATGTATTAGGATAACGTAAATAAGTGAAACACGGAGACAAAGTTAGCTAAGTACTCGAAATTTTAAAACCAAAACTGAATTATAATGAGTCTAAACATGGGAGCAAACTTTTAAAATACTGTAGGAAATTTGAAAACGAAACTTCACAACTTATATAGTAGTGGGTAGGTTCTGTTTAGGAAAATCAAACAATGTTTTCTAAGAGATCGGGGGTTCTATAATTTCTACATAGTATTTTATAAACCATAATATATATATGTATTACGTGTATTGTGTATGGGAATCGTTCCCTCCTGTTGCGCAATAAATGGAATACGATTTTAATAGCAGACAAAACTAACACCACGGGTTACCCATCAATAAAAATCAATATCACTAAATATATTATTACTATGGGTAATACACCTCTATATGATAATAATATTAAAACCGTGCATAGACAAAGACCCAAAAAAGTGTAAAAAACAACAAACTTACATGTGGGTATATTTATTGTAGGCGCATTAGAAAATTAAAATAAAACGTTCAACCTCGAAACTCTCTGGAGCATTATAAATAATATATCGCAATACTGACTTTGACGATTAATAGTACAAACAATAAAGTGGGTTCGAAAAAATCGAAAATACGGGTTATCAAAGTTGTACTTTAGATCGTTGTTTTTTCCTGTACGCAAGGTTGGAAATTCACAATAATTCTAAGCGACCCGCATTTCCTCAAAACACGGTTATTAAACGCAAATACTTAAAAAAAAATTATATTTATATATTAAATGCATAGAAAAAATGACAAATCGATCAACCCGAGTTTAATCTGCACGAAGGGACAACATGCTAGCCAGTTTGTCGGGGACAGTCTTGTATTTTACAAACGATATTATTATCCCTACACATTATGAAGGTAGTTAAGTCGTAGTAGTATTCGTAGTGTTGTGCCACACACACGCGTATGTTTTTCAAACTCGGGAGAGAAGCATTTAATTAAAATAATTGGGCGGATGATCCAAAATTGTACAGTTGCGCTGCTGTTTGCGCTGTATACGTTCGTTAAACATGAACAAATCCCTCGTAAAATGTACTATAGTTGTTTTACGTACATCATCATATAGCCCGGTGACTATATAACACGACAAATTATTACAACTACATAATAATAGGTGATACACGCTGCGCAATTTGAGAATTAAAGCACGAGACGTTGTGTTTCCGTACATTAACATAAGCATGTCAGAAAAATGTGATTTTCAGTCGTATTCTTAATCGCTTCAGACGGCGGACGGCGGTGATTATTGATAATATTAGTATTTACTATTTAATCTAACGATATATTATACGAAAATATTTCAACCCAAATAATAATAATAATAAATGGTTTCCGATGAATACATATTAGGTATTTTGGTAAGTTATAATTTTTTAATATTTAACTAATAAGTGAATTTTACGCAACTGCCGTTTAAGTTTTCAGCGTAGAAATATAATAAAAGACAATTTTAAACGCACAATTTTACGTAAAAGGATGGTGTTTAGATATGAAGGACCCGTGAATTGTATATTTAAATATAGTGATAATATTAAAAATAATAAAATAATATCAAAAGACACTAACCTTCGAGTTTCATGCCGACTTCGAGACATTTCTGGAACCGGCAGAACGGACACCGTTTCCTTTGGGTCTTGTCGATGTGACACGACCGCTCGGCTACGCACGTGTACACCTTTTTGTTTTGCACAGTCCGCTTGAAAAAGCCTTTGCATGACTCGCATGTGAGCAGACCGTAATGGTAACCGGACACCTTGTCGCCGCATACGGGACACAGTTCCTCGATGCCCTCTTTAGTGTCGGGCAGCTCGGAACCGGTGGCCGACGGGTTGACGGCGGCTGCGGCCGCGGACACGGGCGTACCGCCGCCGTTTCCGCCGACGGCCACGTACTGCTGGAGGCCGTCCATGGAACCGGACACACCACCTCCTCCTCCTCCGCCGTTTCCACCTGCGGAACCGAACAAATACGCTGTGTCCACATTACCGAGCTGATAACAACCCTGGTTACTGCCACCCATCATCGAGTACGCGGCAGCCGCGCTGGATGAGGGAGTTTGGTGCTGGGGCGGCATGTATTGGTACAGGGGCGGCGATGAGGCGGGCGGCTGGTACAGCGAATCGTCACCACCGTCGTCGCCAGACGCCTGTGGCGGGCTGAGCCCGAAATGGGACAGATAACTGGCAGAGTGATCCATGCCGGCTGCTAACATATGACGTACGTACAGGGCGTCCCGGAGGGGCACCCACTTGACACGCGGATCGCACTTTTCGTCACGAATAAGGGCTGCTCGAGAGCATATTTTACTAATGTACTATATTGCAGGGTGGCAATTGGGGAGTGTCGGCGACGGGGTGTTATTCGGGGGCGAAGAAGACCTTACAACACCCGAAAAAAGTGCTACGCCGGGTTTGTTGGTACAACGACGGCCGTTGCGGCGATGTCGCGCTGGAATGTCGTCGCTGTATATAGTTATTGCTATAGGCTAGCTGTCGGCTTTCGTCATGTCTATATGGCTATTGCACTGCAGGTTGGCGAGACTCGTTTGCACAACAACGCGCCCGGCCCGATTTCGTCACTGTGAGACTGAATCGGGCGACGACGGCTATACGACGACGACGAAACGCAATCGTTGCGCGGCTCGACGCACACACACACACACACGGGCGCGCGCGCGCTACACGAACACACAACACACGAGCGCGCGCTACACGCTACACGCACCGGGACCGGTGGGGGACCGACACACTACTGGCGAGCGCGGACACTGTACGACGACGGCGACGACGACGACAACGGCGGTGACCAAACACGAATAAATTCCGAAAATTATTATAGTAATAAATAAAAACGGCTATTTATTAATATTGTAAAAATTATGTAAACAATTTTTTTCCGATTTATATTATAACCGTATAATATACACACTAATTCGAGATTTATAAATATAAATAAAAAATATTTTAAGCGTAAAATAAAGCGATACAATTTTTAAAAAAAAAATTTTACAAGTACCGCGAGAGGACGTATTTTATTTTACAACGAATCGAGCGCGCTCGACGAACACATGTACGAAACTTCGCGGCAGAGTCAGGTTAGCCGTGGCTGTAAGATCGGATACCACACACACAGACACACTGACACGGACGGCACGACGAAACGGCTGAAACAAGTGAAAGTGACGGGGCCGGCCCGAGGTGGGGGCAAACGCGTAATGGCTGTGGCGGCGGCGGCGGTGGCGGTGGTAAGGGCGGCGGCGGAGGAGGCGGAGTAGGCGACGGCGCGGTTGTACAGTCGGCGGCGGGGCGTGGGGGGGATCTCAATGACCTACTTTCAATTCTGTATGTGTGTGTCCACAATGAGTCCGACACACAGAGCAGGCGGGTTAGCGTGCGCCCGCGTGCGCGAGCGCGTGTGTGTCTGAGTGTGCGAGCGCGCGCGGGGAGTGTTTTTGTGTATGTATATGTCTGTGTGTGTATGTGTGCGCGCGTTTGAATACGCGCGCCGAGAGGGGTGGTGAACGAAGATACGCGAGCGTCTCACCTCAAGGTTGCTTAAATAATTAACTAATATTATAATATATTATATTATATATTTGGAGGGAAAAAACGAGTTAAATATTAAACTAAAGTAACAATAAAAAACCCCGTAATTCACGTGTAATAGTTCAATGTAGGTATGTTATAACTTTAAAATTGTAATGTCCCAGTTATGTTTATATATAATGTATCGATCTCAAGATTACGATAAAAGTGTGGTTTATTATATATTTAACACCCGAATTGTGCATATTATATTAGGTGGTATACTACAGTGTATACGAAAATATACTAATAACAGTAATAATCTTAAGAATGTTCCGAAATTGCATAATTTTTAACTAGATTAAATCTCAATCATGGCCTAATACTTTAATACAATAATATAAGATGATATTATATTAATACAATAATATAGTACAGTGATATAACATAGATATTCCATTTTTTTTTTTGTTCCAAAGTTGCAATCAAACCATTTTAATCTTTTAATGTTTTATTGTTTTGTTGATCAATTTGTACACATAAACGTATAAATATTTGGGTGCATTGGATTTACAAAAAAAAATTACGCATATTTCGCCAAAATAAATTCATATAATATGTAACGACTGTCCGATAATTTAATTGTTGATTTACTGTATGCAAATTTATTGTGAGTATTACGGAGAATCATGCTACAATATGAGGACAGTTTTTCAACGTTAAACCCAACTGACGTGAAATTGTGTTCTATTATTATAACGATTTTGTGAAGTGTTTCTTCTAACCTAGCTAGGAAGACTGTAATAAGTTTCGTAATTACATAACTAATCGACCATAGTCCTGAGTGTGAAAATGCTATATGGTGTGTCTGTAAGTAAATTATATTTTACTGGCTATAAAAATGTATCTACATATGGTTGGAATACTAAATTGAATTAAAAAAATTGAAAGTTGGTTGTAAACATTAAATATAATACATTAATACCTACATAATAACGAGGTGCGATCATTCAATACTTAATACAAAATGGTTAATTAATAATACTGACATGATTATTGAATGAACTTTGATTAGGTACATTACTTCCATGTCAGTATAATTGAAAAACTCGTTTTTATTAAGTAAATTTAATTTATATTATGTCATAAGAACATAATAGTTAATAATAATATAGGTCTTATAGATAGATAAAAAAAAATATTTAACGGGGCATGTATGAAAAGATACATTTATACAAAACATCATATCGTATTATCAAATCAAATTTAACAATGATAACCAAAATACAAGAAAATAAAAAAAACATCGAACGGAACAGGTGTGATGTTATCGATCATTATTTCACCGTGTTAATTGTAACTATAACATCATTATAATATTGTCATGCCCATTTCCGTCGTGTATTTTAAGTTTTTCTTCTTTTTGTCACCCAACTGACCCAATTCCCAAGGGAAAATATAATCATCTCATCAGACCCTTAAAGATAATACATGCAGCGTGTATAAAAAAATGAAATCCGCCTTATTTTTGTAATTTGTTCCCGCACCAGGAGATTACCTACTGATTTTTTTGCTATTCATAAACGTTTCAAGTGTTTTTTACCCGCCCCTGTGGTCCTGTATATATAATAAATACGTACGAACCGGAGAGTCACCTGATACTGCCGACAGGTGCAAGGGTTATTAGAATAAATCTATTCAACAGTATTTAACGTTTTCCCTAAGCAACCATAAGGTTTACAAAAATAAAAAATATACATTTAAAAAAAATATATTTTTTAAATAATTATGTAAACGTGACCTATTTCCCACACAACTTTAAACCTAACCAATATATTATAATTAGGATTCAGTAATAACCATATGCATACAGTCTAAAAATATCGATACCAATATATAATATATATATTTATATTTATGTAGCGCACTGACGCGGTATGTTGAATATACACGACGGTCGAGCATATCGATCAATATAATATAAGCAAATACAATTACACATAATAAGCAAGTTCAATTGTTTTCATTTTGTACAAATATAAAACTAAATGTCAATAGCCGAGTTTAGATCTATTCAGCTTCTGTACAATTGTATACACGATATATGGATTATGGTGTCCTACTGACCTACATACTCAAGTGTGCTCTCATTTTCTTATCAGCAGTCAGGGGAAAAACAAAATACATACAAATATATTTGCACACGCAACTTGAACGAAATCGATAAAAATCCTTTTATGAACGTATTACTATCAATTAGACGAATAAAAGAAAATTGGCAAAACAAATTATAATACGAGCTAATATCATTAGATATAATAATTGTTTAGGCACATTAACGTACTTACTATACATGTGTACATCGATAATATTATATTATATTGCTCAACCCAGTGGTAATTAATTATTGTAAAAATAAAAACAAATAAATATATTATTTATAATTCATGTGCGACTGCATGTGCTTAGTTTATCTGCGTGATAAATGCGTGATAAAATTTAAATTCCATTAAAATGTCAATCGACAGTAATTTATGTAAATAAAAAAAGTCTTCAATTAATTATTAGGTATAATCGTGTCGCTTGTTAATACTATCATTAAAAATGTCTGAAATTTGAATTTTTTTATAACTCAAGACACATTTCATAATCTAGCCACTCCAAAATAGTACCTATAGTTGCTATATACCAATTGCCTACCTAGTAATGATGATTGATGACTAATATCACGGTATTGTGTATTGAAACATTCAATAAAATAATTGATAAGAAATCGGCATTTAATGTCATGACGTCAAAATGGATTTAACTTAATGAAATGAAATTTTCAAAGTACATACAATGAAATTCTTTAAAGAACTTTTTTTTGTATTATACTAGTTCTTCACTATAATAATATGATTTTCAATACAAAAAATATTCGAACATTTTGATGTTGAATTGTGCAGGTTTATGTATATAATTATACGTATAAACATACATTTTAAAAAATCGTGTAAATGGATTCGCATTTGATGTCAAATCGAGGCATACCTACTATTTTATTATTCATGTGTGTCAAAGTAGAACGTATATAAGTAAAAACAAACACTCGTATCGATTGTTATCGCGTCTTTTTTTATTATTTGAGCTAGGGCAAGCAGGTCCATAGTTCAATACATACACTGCAGAATATACTTTAAAATACCATATTTATGTATCTAGGTTACTGACAATAATATCGTACATAATTATTACATTTAAGTATTATAAATATATACATCATAATTGTATCGAAATCATGAAACAAATTTACTAGACTTTTGAACTTGTCACGTTTCTAAATAATTACTATTTGACAATAAAATCGACAAAATACTCGCGGGTTGTTTCTTTTTGTAAATGATAAACCACCAAATGTCATAATCGATATAGAAACCTAATAAG